CACTGTAACACCATTGTCACACCCAGAAATACTTAACAATAGCTCTTTAATATCATTAAAAACACCTAGTAAATGTTCAAATTTCTCCAATTGTCTGATTTTGTTTAAGTCTGAATCAGGATTTAGATAAGGTTCATACATTACAACTGGTTGTCGTCTCTCATCGAAACTGTAAGTTTCCTCTCTCTCTCCTAGTTTTTTCTTGCAATTTATTAGTTGAAGAAACTGGCTCATTTGTCCTGTAGGTTTCCCATAGTCTGGGATCACACCCATGAGGTGGCGTTTAACATATTCTTCTGTTCCCTGTATTAGCTGTAAATTAGTAGTTAGGTGTAAAGGCTTGATCAGATTTAGGTAGTGTTTTGACCTCCACCAGGTGGCATTTAACGCATGGTAACTTTTTTGTGATATTAGCAATCACTGATCATCACTGTCTAGATTCATTATGCCATAAAGGGTTGCGCAATGGTGCTATTCTAATTTTTTTTCTTCTTCTTTTATTAATTGGAATTCTATCAAGGGAAACTTCCTCTTTTCAACTATTTGGTTACCTGGAGATTCATTTCATATAGTAAAGGCAGGATACATGTTTGACTTTTTGGGTCTGTATTCGTTAGTTTTCAAAATAGTGAGCTGGTTCTTTTAGATGGCCATTAAGTTTTTTCTGTTTTGCATACCGTTATGAATCATGCATTTAAACATATTTGATACGGTTCTACCTATTGCAGTTATCTTTCTTATTGGTGCTCAGATTGTCCCACCTTTCGCCAGTGGGAAAAACCTCTGTTAGTTGACAAGTCCATATAGTCTTTGCTAACTGCCTTACTTTCTGGTAGGATGAGATGTTCACGATAGTATTTCCTGTTTATGCCTCCTGACAAGGCTCATCTTGCACATGTCCTGTGCAAGACCTGGAATCAGCCATTTCTCCAAAGAACCCTAGCTCTTTTCAGTGGGAAATGGTATTGCAAGCCTGTATCTGGGTGCCAGGAGTGCTCTTTGCTACTGGATTCTTGTTTGTAGGCTTAATCAGTGAACATATTAGAAAATATTTATTATTAATTTTTAAAGATAAAATTCATCATGTGTTTAAACAGGCGCTTTCCATTTAAATTCAGAGCACGGAATTTTCATTTCAGCTCTAGTTATGTTTCTGGTGTACTACATGGTGTGAAATGAGAACCTAACTTTAACTTGCCCCCTCTCCCCGCCCCCAAACGGGATTATTTGTTGAATAATTAATCCTTTTCCTAACTGACTTGCAGGACTTGCTACATAAATTACCAGGCCCATTGCAAAATGAAAATGCAGGACTCCTTGTCCAAAACGTCTTAAGAATTTTAATATGGTGGCAGCAGAGCCTTTAACCACTTTGTGGGGCCTTTCTAAGAGCAGGGCCCTGTGTAACCGCACAAGTGACACACTATGAGGCTGGCCCTGATGACTTGTGACAGTGAACACTATAATAGCAAATACTTACATAGCATTTGCTATTGCCAGGCTCTGTTCTGAATGTTTACATGTCACCCAGGTAATTACTTTTGTTATTTCCACTTTTTTTTTTTTCTTTTTTTTTTTTAGCTGAGCCATCCTGCTACCTGTTGGCAGCTCAGCGGCTGCTCAGCTCGGGCTGGACTCGAACTGCTGTTGCTCAGAGCTCAAACTCTTGAGCGAGCTCTTAACCAACTGAGCCACTCGGCCGGCCCTGTTATTTCCACTTTTGAGATGAGGAAACTGAGGCACAGAATGGTTAAACAGCTTGCACAAGATTACACAGCTAGTAGGTGGCAGAGCCAGGGTTTGACTTACTGGGACTTTATAGGATTTAATGTTAACAAGTTATGCCCTCATATTCTTTTTCAAATTGTTCTTAATTGATTTTGCCTATTTATTTTTCAGGTTAAGTTTAGATTGATTATTGTTGAATTACAACAAACAAATCATTGGTATTTTGATTGGGATTCCATTCAAACTAGTAGTTATTTCGGGATGAACTGGCATCTTCTTTTTTCATCTATGAATGTGAAATATCTCTCCATTTATTTAGGTTTGTATATTTCTCTGTTCAGTTTTTATTTTTTCTTCATAGATACCACATAATTCTTGTTAAGATAATTACTAAATATTGTATAGTTTGTGATTAATATGAATCGATTCTTTTTTCTTTCTTTGAAGAACATAACCAGCAATTTTTGATTTACATATAAGGAAATTACTGATTTTAAAAAAATCGTAGCTACCAGATTTGGAGCACCTATTATGTGCCTAGTGCTTATTATTTTTGAAATGAAATAAGACTTATAATGAAAAACAGTAGTCTTTTGCCTTATCACTAACCCCCTTGATTACTACTCCTAGAGGCTACCACTTCTAATCTATTTTACTGTTTTTTCTGCTAGTTACCATTATAGTCTTAAATAATAATATACACATACAACTATACAGGGTGCCAAAAAATGTATACACATTTTAAGAAAGGGAAAAAACAGTATTAAAATTACGCTGATGGTAACCATTTTGAGTACCTCTTTGTAATTGCAGAAATCAAACATGCCTTGTATTCATCTTTTGTTTTCGGTATATATTATTACAATTTTAATACAGTTTTTTTCCTTTCTTAAAATGTGTATACATGTTTTTGCCACCCTCTGAGTTTATTGAGTTTTTCAGATTCATATAATTATTTATTGGCTTTCAACTATGGCATGTAACTATGTAGCTCCTTTTCCTCCTTGCCCCCAGCCATACAGACACACACATGCACTCATAGTGCTCAAATGAAAACATATGCACAATCTTCTCCTTTTTCTATCATCCCAGTACAGTGGTAACACAATTGTTAGCTCAATAAATATTATGCTTACATTATTTTAGTGATGTAAATATAATTCACAATTCCTTTCCTTTAAAACATTGAGAGAATAAAAGGGGAAAAACTGAAGACAGTGTGTAGAGTCATTTAAAGAGTTTTCCTATGAAGGGAAGGGGAGAAAGAGGGTGGAAGGCTTTGGAGACACAAATGGCCTGAAAGAGGGTTTTTGTTTTTTGATGGGAGATATAACAGTGTGTTTGATGCTAATGGAAATGATTCATTAGAGAAGAAGAACCTGATGGTGCAGGGAGAATCTTTGGGGCTATGTTCCAGATTAGGCGAAAGAGCATAGATGGAGTTATTGCCTTTGACTGGACAAGAGAATAGGTCATTTGTGAGTGACAGGAGAGAAAGTGGAGCATATAAGCACAGGTGTAGGGAGATGGCGGTCTCTTCATATCCTCTAATTTCTCAATGAAGTAGGAAGCAAAGTCATCAAGCGAGAGTGAGGATAAGCGCGGAGGTGTGGGAAGTTGGCAGGAGAGGAGAAAACGAATTGGCAGTCCAGGGGTGTGGGAGAGAGAAGACAACTGGTCATAGCAAGTGATTCTTTTCATATACTATTGAAACTGATAGGCCATTCTTTCATTTAGAATTTTTCACATACATTTATAACAAAAATTGGTCTATAATTTTTGGGGGGCGATTATATGTCAAGCTCTGGTACCAATAAAAACAGAGACAATAACAACAGATACTATTACTGAGCACCTATCATGTACCAGGCACCAGTAATTTCTTTCATTTATCTCATTTAATCCTCATAACAACAAAGAAATGATACCTTGCCCCATTTTGTAGATGAGAAAATTGAAGCTGGGGCTGAGGGTACAATAAAATGACATGGTTAAAGTTGTATAACTAGCTAATAAGCAGAGTGGGATTCAAAGCAAGGTCTGTAACTTCAAAATCAATACTTTTAACCAGCAATTTATGCTAACTTTATAAACCAGCTTTTCAGCTTTACTCTAAGTTCTAGAACAGATTATATAAAAATGAGAATTATCTGGTTTTTAAAAAACTCACAAAAACCTCACTGGAGAAAGCCATGAGATATAAAAATGCTATTTAAAGTTGAAAAAATAAAGAGATAATAGCTTGTTATAAACATCTTATTTCCATTCACATGTGGCTGTTTCTACTTAGTTACGAAGCCTTCAATTTAATAAATATTGTAAGAAAAGCATGTGAACCATTACTCTGTCCGCCTCACTCAGCATCATGTTCTATCTGTCTCCTATCATTTCTGCCTCATGAAATATCATAGAACTGTCCTGTTTCTTTCCATCACCATTGCCCTGGGCTGGGCTGCTGTCACGTTAGCCTGGATGACTGCAATATCTCTCAAGTTCTTCCCCACTTTCTTTCTTGTGTCACTTGTATTCATTCTGTACACAACAGCCAGGGAGATTTATTTCAAAATGCTCTGTGTATTTACTGTTGGAATGCTGCCCAACATAGAGTATATTTCCCAAATATAGAGCTGCATAAAATCATGCATGGTGCTTAACTACAAATGGAAAACATCTTTTTGAAACATAAACACTTAAAACAATATAGAGTCCTACAAAAAGGCATTATGCCAAGTGGTTTTTAACTTGCTTAGGCTGACCTTTCTCCTTTAGAAGTCTTCTGTAAAATGATTGTTTTCCCAAACCACCCCTCCCAACCTCAAAACTAAAATTTAGTATATGGAATCTTTAATTCTAGTGGTTCTACAATGGATTAGAACAGGCCCCATTTTCTAGTGCTTTCCTTAGCAGAGGGGGTTGAGATACATACATCATGAACACCTTAATATATTTGTTTTGTTTAATCTTTTTTTTCCAGGGTCAACAAGTGAGCAGTCTATATTAAATGCTCAATAAATGTCCATTAAACACTATTAAATGAATACAACATTTGGTATTTTGTAGGCATAATCTAAAATTTTCTAAGCGATCAAGTAAAGGCTTCAATAGAATATTTCTGTATTAAATTATGTAATGATGGATTTTCTTAAAATATGATTTTTGCATTTTTTCCTCTAAGGTCCTGATTTCCTTTTTCATTCAGCAGATTTGCAATACTTTTCACTCATCATGTATTTTCCCTTTCATCTAAAAATGTCAATTTTCTCTAAGTTTACCTTGAAGCATGACCAAAGACTGCCGAAGCCGGCTGTTTTCTTTCCGGGTGTTTGTTAGTTTTTGTTTCAGGCTCTTTATTTTCGTGCACAATTCCTCCTTTGACAATCCTTCTAAAGGCTCTTCATCCTCACTGGAGCTCTCACCGGGCAGAAAGGCATTTCCCGAATAGGGGTCTCTCTGAAATACAAGGCATGCACAACACAAAAAGCTTCAAAGTGACTTGAACGGTATCTTCCATATTCCGTATGCTGAAGGGACATAATCAGACCTACAAATTCCTGTTCTCTCAGGCGCTTCCTGTCCAGGAGGGGAGCTGGGCCCTGAGTGATCTAGCCTCAGCTTTGTCTTCTACTATCTCCGGGAGCTTGGAATAAGGCAAGGGCATCCAGGTCTCACACACGTGTTTTACGAAAAGCAGAAACCAGGATTCTGACTTTCTGCCCAACTTCAGTGAGAAATACAAAGTAGAAACATAGTGAAACAGAGCAGAGTCAACAAGACTACCATTCGGAGCTGTGTAACTCATCCCATCCTCCATTTCTCCCTTGCTCCTCATTCACAGCCTGTCTATTGAGATGACACTGACGTCATGAAGCCAATTTTTTTTTTTTTGCATCAGAGAAAGGAGACAGAAGATTCACCTAGAACAAAGCATTTATGTTTACCTTTTCGTCTTAAAAATAGTTTTTAAGGTCAGTAGCAAGATAATAATCTGAAACACATGCATTTGAGTTATAAAACCCAAGTTGTATTGAGGCAGAAAACAAATTTCTCAAATTACCAAGCTGATATATATATATATATATATATATATATATATATGCAGATATAGATATATATCAGTTTCATATATACATATATATAAAGTGTTTTTAGTTTGCACTCTTGTGGCTGCCTCAATGTCCTAATCAATTCAAAATATTTACATTTCATGGTAATTTTGACTTTGGGGAAGAGCCAGAAGTCACACGGTGCCAGATCCGGTGAATAAAGTAGATGAGGACACACTGTAATATTTTTATTTGACAGAAACTGCCATACCAGAAGTGATGTGTGACACGGAACGTTGTCATGATGGAGGATGAAGTAAGTACACTCATGAAAGAGGACTTCCAGAACTGCTTCAGAAAGTAAAAAATAAATAAATTCTTTTAAATGGTAACATTCACTGTATTTTTTGATCACACCTCGTGTATCTTCCAAACCTGGAAAATGGGAGCACAGAGTGGAATTTATAAAGAGCCAAACCCCAGAAGCATGGAGTATAAAGTTTTTAAAAATGAGCTTTAGAGTAGAAGAGATAAAGCCGTGACCTAAAGATAGCTCTTGCTGCACAGGAAGGGAAAAGGCAGCCTGGTGCCTGGAGGAGGAGCCTGGGGAATCAGAAACTGGAGTGGCAGGACATCAGGTTCAAGTGTCTTTGATCTTTCTGCCATCACCCCTTGCGGGGAATGGAGAAGGATCACAGGGGTAGGGGTATATGATAGAAACTTTCAGGTAAGTAAGAGGCAATTCCAGAGCAGCGGGGCTGGCTCCTTGCTTCTCAGTCCATTATAAACTCCCTAAAGAGGCCACATGGCCAGCATAATATCAGGGCAACTTGGTGCCTTTCTGGGCCATCGATTAGAAATGGCCCAAATCTGTGTCTGGACAAATGGACCAGAGATAGCATCCAGACCTTCCAGAGGTTACGCAGAGCAGCTAGAGAATCCAAACAGTCCCTGTGCGCTGGTGAGAAAGTAGATACCTGTATTTCCCCATGTATAAGACGCACCCTTTTTCGAAAAATTTGGGGTCTAAAACTGGGTGCGTCTTATGCAGTGGTTGTAGATTTTTTTTACTTGCATTTCCTGCTTTTTTCGCGCTTGTTTTTGCGTTTATACAACCACTGTATAAGACGCACCGTTTTTAGACCCCAAATTTTAGAAAAAGGGTGCATCTTATACATGCGGAAATACGGTAGGTGCTGAGGGAACTGGTGAAGCAGAAATAGTTCAGCATGTTGACAGAGAGGCCACAGGGTGCTAGAACTTGATGGGAGATGGCAGTGGGTGCCAGGATGGCAAACTTCAGCAGTTGGTGCCAAGAGAACTCCCAAATACCTGGAAGGATTGGCTGTACCTCAATAGTATCGCTACTAGACACCTAGGAAGCAGGCAGAAAAGTTAGAAGCTCTGCAGAAGACCAGCTATCCCGAAATGCTGGGATGATATGTAAGACTCCTGAAAACTTGAATTATTTCCCAGGAAAACAAAATAGAAAGTGGGGGAAGATAAGAATCTAGGCTCCATTAAGGCTTACATCCTGGAGTGATTGAAATTACAGCTCAAAGGGACTTTGAAAAACTAGGACACTCTCTCATTCACTTGAATGGACAAGTTTAAGCTTCTTTTTTTCTTTCTGATCAAGCAGGGATGGAGAATTGAAAGCCAGATGAGGTTGGCTATAAAAAATACAATTACAATTTTGAATGATTTGTAATGAATGCATTTAACATCACTCCTTATTTTATAAATATACAAATATATGTACCATACATTCATGATTACATATATGTGTGTAGGTAACATACATTACATATACATAATGGTAATGAAAATGATTATTATCATATGTGGGCAAGTAGCTAATGTACTGACACTAGATATATAAACCCTAAAGAAAAAAACTAATGGATCTGATTAAATAGAAATGAAGGATTATATTTTAAACTGAAGGGTGCCTATGGAGACCATAGTTCTATGGAGAGTACAATAACTCCTCACTTAACATTGTCAGTGGGTTCTGCAACTTTAAGCGAAATGACATGTAATAAAACCAATTTTACCATAGGCTAATTGATAGAAAAGAGAGCTGAGCTCCTATGGCATCTAATCAATGTTATAATGAAATGATGCTGAACAAAATGATGTTATTCAGGGACCTGCTGCAATTTAAAAGAGTTAGAATGTATGCTTTAGCTCTTGCCATTTTTCTCAAGTTCCTATAAGAAATGAAATAAAGCAAAAGCTAGACCATTTGTAAGCATCGGTGGAAGACAAAGTTAATAGGCAATATCAGATTGGAAGAAGACATTTTTAAAATCTAAAACCACAAGAGACTAATTTCTACACTAGATAAGGTATTTGTGCAAATCAATAAGAATAGAATAGGAAACCCACTAGAATAGACTAAAACACAACAGAAAAGATAAGAAGCCAATAGAAAATTGGACAATGGCAGAGACTGCTAGCTTTTTCCACGTATTTGCTTTCCCATTCTTCTACAGTAATAGATTTTTAGCTGGGCAGGTAGCTGTCAGCCAAAGATTACATTTCCCAGACTCCAGTGCAGCTCAGTGTAGCTATGTGACTAAGTTTCCATAATAAAATATGAGTAGAAGCCATGTATACCACTACTGCTTCATGACCTTAAAAGGAACGAGCATGCCTTCTCCTGGCTGTACTCTGTTAGTAGAGAGGAAGGCATGGTGTTGGGCGCTGGGGTGCTCACCTTAGACCAGAGATGTGAGGCTGTATGTGGAGGAAGGTCATCAACAAGATCAAAGGGATCCTCAACATCGTGGAGCTGCCATAGCAACCCTGGACTGCTCTTGCTATTATATGAAAGGGGAATGAAATTCTGTCTTCTTTGAGGCACTGTTATATTTGGGTCTTTGTTACAGACTTGCAGCATACATGATAAAATCCAGATTTTCATACCTAGAAGCAGGACACCCCGAACCTGACATGTTAGAATTACTTAGAGGTCAGATTGTGGTCAACCAGAGCACAGGTATAACATGCTGGAAAGCGGTTGACTCTTGTTACACCCTGGTGACCTAACTGGTAAAACTGTCACCTGGAATACCTTGGAAGGCAGACCATGTGCTTACTGAGTCTGGAAAAAGAAAGAATGTTGGTGTGTATTGGTGACTTCTTGTGGGCGCTGGCCAGTTTGCAGAGATGGGAGGTTTTCTTCTTCCATTTGCATTTAGAATGCAGCCTGCCATCTACATTGATGGAGAATCCAGTAATGTTACATCTTCAAGGCCTGAAAAAGCCAATTACGTCTACATCTAAATAGCTGGAGGTAAGGCTGTGACCTCAAGGCTTTCTCAAGAGCTTCTTTTTAAGTGTTCTCTGCTAGACATTGGGATCCATCCCATGGGGAGTATCAGGTTCAGTGTGTAACCTTCAAGCTTTTTGTTTCATATGGCCTTTAGGTAATTGTCATAAGTTGGAGAGAGCAGAGGCTAAGCACAGGTGTCATAATAAAAGAGGAGAGAGTAAGGCTTATTTTTGACCCAATAAGATCTCTGGCTATAGTTACTTGCAACGAAACCCATGTGAAATAGTTTGAAAAACTATTAACTTCTTGATAAAAAATAAATTGCTAAAGAAATCATAATATTAGTCTGCAAGAGCATGTGACTATTTTATTCCTCAAGGAATCATGGGCCCCACAAATCTGCACCAGCACAATGAAACAAGATATCATTTTCTCCCATCAATTGCCCAAAATATGAAATATGGATATAAATGCTAAGTGCTGGTAGGGAAGAATAAATATAGGAACCCCTCATGCAGTGCTGTTGTAGACTAATGTGAACATTTCAGAAAGCAATTTTATAGTATCTATTCAAATGAACCAGAAATAAACATAATTTTTAAGCCATAAATTAGTCTCCTGTGTGTTTATTCCAGAGAAATTTTCACACGGTTTATTAAAAGGACATGTATGAGGATACTTATTTTGTCACTGTTTGTGGAGGAAATTTAAGTGTTCATCCTTGGAGGAAAAGATAAGTAAAATATGGTGCTGTGGTAGTTAGACACAATGGATCAACTGTATAATAGCAATATAGGTAGATGTTAAAAACAATGCTGATTGAAAAATCAGAAACAGATTGAGGTGTATATTATGATACCAACATACTACTAAATGTACGTGTAGCAAATGATTTATCCATAAGGTTGTACAGTGTAAAATGACTTGTAAAAAGAAGAAGATTGGAAACAAGCCATATCCATCATAGGGGACTGGCTAAATAAAGAATGGTACATACACACAGTGGAATAATATGGAGCTGTGAAATAGAGAAAGTTCTTTATATACTAGTGGAAAGATCTTCAAAATATGTTAAGTGAAAAAGAAAAGTACGAAGTGGCATATTTGGTAAGTTACTTTTTGTGCAAAATAGGGGATATGAATATCTATATTCATATTTGCCTTATATGAACAAAAACACCAGAAGGCTAAACAAGAAAGCAATAAATGTGGTTACCTGTAGTAGGGTGGGTAGGAGGTGGGCACAGGGTGGATGGGAGACAGGGATGTGAGGGAGACTTTCCAATGTTTACATTTTAAATATATATATATATATATAAACATATACATATAATATACATACATATATTACAAATATATTCATTTTTTATTACTTAAAAAAGATTCAATTTTTTAAAATTTAGTTTCCTGATTCTGTGCTTGCACCTTTAACAATTTCACAATGATTTTGTGCTCCTGAATTAGAAAAGCACACTGGATTCTGTCATGGACACATTTCACACACATGGAACCACTATAGGTGCAGCTGATACAATTTTTCGTTTTAGATAACCTCACAAGAATTTAGGTCTCACTTATAGTTGGACTGGGCACACTCCACATGTGAATTTTAGTGCTTCCCAACCTGCTTGGTGTAAAGGTAAATAATTCTATTACCAGGATAGCCTAGTTTTGTTAGAGGTTGTATTATAGGATAGCCTATGATGGTATGTCCAATGCTGAACCATTCTGAAGATCTCAAGACACGATCCAGGAAGACTGAAAATATTTTAAACCATGAAAATTTACAGTATGTATTTTAAAAATTAAATAAACATGCACGCACATAAAACACTACATGTATTACGGAGACATACACAAATACATGTATTACAAAGACACACAAAGAAAAAGATATAGAATAAACACATTGATAGGTTGTCCAAAGAGTAGGAGGAGAATGATCATGGAGAATTCAGATCAAAAAGGAATCAATGAATAAACAAAAATAGGAAAGAAGCCCTGACTAAACCTGTGATGAAGATGGGCCACAAAATGGATGGAAAACAAAAAAAGAAACAGAAGACGGCCGGCCGAGTGGCACTTTGATTAAGAACTGGCTTGGGACGCCAGAGGGCCCCGGTTTGGATCCCACATATGAGGGCCAGTGACACTGCCCTCTACAGCTAAGATGCTGAACAACAGCTCAACCTGGAGCTGGGCTGCCGTGAGTCGCCGGCGACTGCTAGGCTGCAGCCCCTGCTGCAGTGGGTTGCCATGGGCTACCATGTGTAGCCAGCAGCCAGTGTGAGCAGCCATCCAGAAGCTGGCGACTGATCTGCCTCACCGGGAAGAGTGCAATGATGGTGCCAACTTGGGCCAGTGAAGCGACATCCTCCACAACTAGACTGAAGAACTAAAGGAGAGCAACTTGTCTGTTCCCCTTCCCCCAATTCCCCAGCACTGTTCCCATCCCCCAATTCCCCAATAAAAAGTCTTAAAAAAAAAGAACTAAAGGGGATTCCAATTTCTCCTGGGTTTTTTTGAGAAGAAAAAAATATTATCTGACAGATTACTGATTTTTAATTTCCCAGAATATCAAAAAAAGTTTGAACAATGGCATAATTGGCCATTCTTAATATTAATAATAGAAGCAGGTAAAATGTGTTTTGAGTATGTTCTAATTCAACTTGTTCAACATTAAAAAGAGAACATGCAATTTTATTCCCTCGATTGAATAAAGAACTAAAGGGAAGGGCCGGCTGAGTGGCACGATGGTTAAGAACTGGCTTGGGATGTTAGAGGACCCCGGTTCGGATCCCACATATGAGGGCCAGTGACACTGCCCTCTACAGCTAAGATGCTGAACAACAGCTCAACCTGGAGCTGGGCTGCCGTGAGTCGCCGGCGACTGCTAGGCTGCAGCCCCTGCTGCAGTGGGTTGCCATGGGCTACCGTGTGTAGCCAGCAGCCAGCGTGAGCGGCCAGCAGCCGCAGTGAGCGGCCATCCAGAAGCTGGTGACTGATCTGCCTCACCCGGGAAGAGTGCAATGATGGTGCCAACTTGGGCCAGTGAAGCGACATCCTCCACAACTAGACTGAAGAACAAAAGGACAGCAACTTGTCTGTTCCCCTTCCCCCAATTCCCCAGCACTGTTCCCATCCCCCCAATTCCCCAATAAAAAGTCTTAAAAAAAAAGAACTAAAGGGAAGAATAAATTAGAATAGGGGCAAGTACTAATAAATCATGAGAGGAATTTTGAAATTATGGTGGGGCCAGGTAATCAAATCGTATCAAGGTAACAGAACACCAACCTGTCCTTTATTCATGTCACTATTTGCATTCTCTGAGTCCATTGTCTCTGTCCTTTTCCTCTTTCCTTTTCTAAGAGCTTGGGTATTGGTAACTTCATCTGTTTGCAAGATCGTCTGCATTTTATTAATTAGTTATCAAAAGTTTTCTGAAGTTGTAGGAGGGATTACCCATGTAGATGATGCTATTCTGGATGCGGCCCCCAATTTAATGTTTTTCCTGAAAAACAAAAACAAACAGAAGGATATGTAATATATTTACAACTGTAAATATGTCTCATATGTATATCTCATAATGGCACTAGCCACTCAAGTAAACTACTTTTACTAAATGCTTCCTGTCATTCTTTCTTCCACTGACCAATTTAGTATATATTTTCATTTCAATCAAACCTTTTTCAGTTTCATCATCACCATCATCATGAAATCATGTTTCCATGATATGATACACAGAGAGTTGTCACTTATAAAATTAGTGTAAAATTTTTCCATATTTACAAGTTTTTTCTTGTCAATCAGTTATAAGGAGTCTAAATAAAAGTAGAAATATTATAAACTTATGCAAACAGTATTTCAGAAGACTGAAGTTATATATCTTTAGGAAAAAGACATTAAGAACAGATTTTATCAGGACCAAAATATTCCAAGGGAGATTAATAAGAGTTACTCAGAAGTTTGTTTTATTTTCTGAAAACTCTAAAGTTTTGAGACAGGTTTTCCTTGGTATAAACTTAAAACTTGTATCATAAAGAATGAGGAAAAATATCTTAAAGGCAATAATATATTTCATAAAAATTTTAAGGAATAATCATTTTTCAAAACCTGATAAAGCAGATGATAGTTCTTAGGTCGAACAGGGTTGAAATGATCAAATTTAACTTTTGCTACAGATGATGTAGTACATTTGGTCTTAGCATCCTTATTCGTTGCATATATTGGTTTGTGTTTATGAAAAGATATTTAATTATAAATAATAAAACTTTAACTACAGAAGGGACTGAGCTTAAAGGTACCTCAAGAAATATGTGGACTGTTGAGCAGAAAGTAACATATGCTCCTTACCAAATAACACTAAGTAATTCTTTTAGAAAATATGGTTCTTTTACCTATTTTAAGAGAAATGCATTATTCTCTACCCCAAGCATAAAAAAATATTTGAGATGGTCTTGCCAGAATTGTTTATTGTACCTCTTTGAAAACTTACTTTAGGTTTTCAAATACATGAATAGTACTTGAGTTAATATGGGATTGCACTGTCATATGTGACTCACAAATATCATAGATCTTACCTAGCATCAAGCTTTGTTAATAATTTCAAAGATTCAAGCAATTGAGTGGCACAGTCAGAGTAGGGAGAGGTATAGGACATCCTACTGGCTTTGTAGGTCCTTCCTTCTCACATCCTATAGGCACTTTGTGGTCTAGAATAATAGGTGAGGCCTCTAAATGAGGTTTGAGGGTCACCTCACACAGTAGAGAGTGTTTAAGTTGTGACAAATCTCCATTTTATAGCTGAGAGTTGTATGGCTTGCATGACCTTCTCTAGGGAGTTATTAATCCATAGGTTCTAGGTAGTTTGCCCTTAAGCAATCCTATAAGGAATATACAATTAAGAGCGCTCCATAGATAAAAACTCCACTTTTGATAAATATCATTAGTCTATTTACCCAGAGCAAGGTCAACAAGCATTTTCTATAAAGGGTCAGGTAGTAAATATTCTAGGCTTTACAGGCCAAGAGGTAAAATCAAGTGTATTATGTAGGTACTTCTATAACCAAAATAAAGAAATAAATTTTCACAAAATTTTCTTCAGCTGCTGTAGTCAAGCATGACTTAATTAACTCACTATTGGTAGATGGCGTTCCTTACTTGGCTAACAAATGAACCATGGAGAAACTTGTTTTGGTTTTAAACTTATTTTCATTTTTGTGAAGAAATTCTGCTGTGATGGTATATTTCATTTTAAATTTTCTAATTTTTCTGACTGTTGCTGTTTGCTAAGTTGGAACTATTGTAATGAGTGCTTAGTTTGGTAATGTTGCCATACATCATATCCTTTTAGCACAGCTATAGTGTTATAAACACAACGTTGTAATAAACACAATGCTTTGCCACCTAACCTGATAACAAAATAATCCAGGGGCCGGCCGAGTGGCTCAGTTGGTTAAGAGTGTGAGCTCTGAGCAACAGAATTACCGGTTCAATTCCCACATGGGCCAGTGAGCTGCGCCCGAGCTGAGCTGCCAACAAGTGGCAGGATGGCTTAGCTGCTGAGAGCACGTGTTCCTAACAAGGTTGCCAGTTCGACTTCTGCATGGGATGACGGGCTATGCCAACCTGCAACTAAGATTGAACATGGCACCTTGAGCAGAGCGTCCCTGAGCTGCCAATGGGCGGCTGGATGGCGACTGGACTTGGAGCTGAGCTAGCTGCGCTCTCCACAACTAAGATTGAAGGACAACAACTTGGCTGTTCCCCTTCCCTAATTCCCCAACACTGTTCCTCTTACCCCAATTCCCCAATAAAATCTTAAGAAAATAATAATAATCCATGCTTCACTCAGCTTTAAAGCACTAAGTCCAGTTTTCTCTTTTTTTCTTGTTTTGACACGATTGCCATGCACTGGTAAAAAAATAAAATAAAATAAAATGCCATGTTATGACAATATGCATGACACTAAAACACTGTCAAGTTATTATAACTGCATCACTGTGGTTTGTGGTACACTGAGCAGCAGTGTGTAGTGATGAGACTGCCCCATATGGTCTCTGTCACAGCTACTCAAATCTGTCCTCATAGCATGAAAGCAGCGCTATGCAATATGTAAACACATAAGTGTGGATGTGTTCCAATAAATCTTTACTTATGGACACTGAAACTTGAATTTTATGTAGCTTTCACAAATCATGATATGTTATTCTTATATTGATTTTTTTTTTTACTAAAACTGTGAAAACCATTATTAGTTTACAGGCTACACAAAAACAGGTGGCAGGCAGATGAGCAACAGTTTGCTGAACCCTGACCTAGGAGTTCAGTTATATTTAAAAACAGTTTAAACTGGATCATCTGCTTTCTTTTCTTTCATCTTTATTTCTTTTGCTGGAGAGCAGGCCAGCTGTTTTAACTTCTTCCTCTCCAGTGCCTTACTTCATGACATATTATTACTAACAAATCAAGAACAGTACTTGAAAGACACAATATATAGCCTGTAAGATCCTAAACCAAATTGTTTTCATTTGATAAAGCTGAATTTTGCCAGATTTACCTGATCGGGACCTGTTAAACATTATTTAGTGATGGTGACACATGTCAGAGTCCCTGGTTCACTGGGGTTGAGGGTGGGGGGAAAGGGTATGGGGAATTATTCTTTAATGAGTATACAGCTTCAGTTCTGCAAGATGAAAAGAGTTTGGTGATGACTGCACAACAGTGTGGACATACTTTTTATCTCTGAACCGCATACTTAAAAATGGTTAAGATGGTAAGTTTTATGTCATGCGTTTTTACCACAATAAAAAAAAATGGAAAAAATTAGTTAAAAAAATATACGTTTTGTAATATCCGTAATGTACAACATTTTCTCATTTTGATGTGATTTAAAGAGCAAATCCTCAAGTTTCTTCACAAACATACAATTCATTCAGGACCAAACAGAATGGATATATCAGATCTCTCTTAGAATGACTTTTGAGTAGATTTTAGGCCAGTATTCCTGTTATAACATCCACTAACAGGTGACTCAATGTTTATATTACCTGCCTGTTAACAAATTCAGAAGAAATATTATGAATACGGCTATATATTAAACACTACTAGTTCCTGATAGTAAAAATATTCACCATGTAGTAATCTGCCTCTCTTTATTTCTTTGCCAATAGAAAGTATTTCATTAGTTTCTAGATAGTTATAGGGATGAGATTAAACATAACTGCAGCAATGAGAACATCAAATATATGTGGCTGGATGAATAACATAAACAAATAGCTTTTAATCTTTTTTTGACTGCAGCTCATAGTAAAAAGTGCATTCTACAATTTGATCCAACACACACACATATACTCACAAAAAAAAACCCTAAAACAAAATTTCATGAAACATATTCATTCTTACTACATATGATGCACTCTCTTAATTTCTATTCCAGCTACTGTGTTTTATTTCATAGTTACAAGTGCTGGTCACAGCACATTAAATTGATTTCACAAGTCACTAATGAGTTATAAGCCATAGTTTGATAATAATGTTCTGAGTAAATCCACAGTTATAAAAAAATAATGTCTAAGAAACATGATAGAGAAAGGGGAAGTTAGTAACTAATGAAAGCAAATGAAATTAATAAAAATATAAATTCCTAATGCATGTAGATTTAATTTTAATAGATCAATGATACTATTAATGTGGGAGTTCAAAAATGCAAAAGCCACCTCTGAAATTCTAAGAAACAAAAGTCACCCAAATTAAACCAAATGAATATCAAAATGTAATTCATGTGTCTCATCTGCCTTTGGATTTAAATACAAATTTTCTATTATGAATTAAATAAAAATAATTACAGGTAAATACACACTACAGGAAAACCTTAGTACCCTTTCATGACTTGCAAAAGTTTTAGATTGCTTTCTATACATACCAGTTTTGAAATATATAGATGTATAATGTCCCTTATGGCACTCAGATCAGAATATGAGCAGAGGACTGCCCTTTAAATGAGTTCCAAAGTGCCAGGAAAATAGTGTCAGTGTAATTCTAAATATTCAGTGATGGCTTTAATGTTCTCTGTGAAATGGAGTACTAGTTTCAGACCTGCTCTTGCATGGTGGGACATGGGTGAGGAATGCACCCTATTATTTTAAAAAAATTATGCATAGGGCTGGCAGAGTGGCTCAGTTGGTTAGAGTGTGAGCTCTGAGCAATAGGGTCGCTGGTTCGATTCCCAAATGAGCCAGTGAGGTGCGCCCGAGCTGAGCTGCCAATGGGTTGCTGGGTGGCTCAGTTAGTGAGAGAACGTGCTCTTAACAACAAGGTTGCCGGTTCGACTCCCACATGGGATGGTGGACTATGTCTCCGCCAACAATTAGACTGAAAGCGGCAACTGGACTTGGAGCTGAGCTTGCGCCCTCCACAACTAAGACTGAAGGACAACAACTTGACTTGGAGCTGATGGGTCCTAAAAAAACACAATGTTCCCCTTCCCCAATTCATCAACACTGTTCCCCCCTTCCCCAATTCCCCAATAAAATCTTAAAAGAAATGCATACACTAGAGGAAGAGAAATCAAGATCAAGATGGTTCTACATGATTGGGTGCCTTCTCCTGCAGCACCCACAGCACTCTACTGACCAAAACAAGTGCTTGGATGGTTTTCTCATCAAAGTGTTCTTGATTTCTGGATAGAACTTAATAGATTTTACTAATGTCCATCAGGGAACATTTCAACTCTTTTTACTCCCTGCATTCCAAATGATGTCAAATACATTTTCAGTTTTCAAGTTGTTCCAACAATATCCCGAATAAAAAGACCATCAACATACTTTTGGATGATTCAACAACGCTGCCAAACTATGATTGTATTACTCAGACTAGATTGGAGGCTAAGCGTGAGCCTAAGGTTTCTTATGTGAGGTTAAGTATGTTTGAAGGACTATAGACCTGAATCATTTTCAATTTTCCATGATGAGAAATGTAAGAAAAAGGTTCTCATCTGGCCAGAGGTTATGGATGTAATTCTGCTGGAGCTAATTTAACTAAGAAGCAGTGACATCATGCATTGTTAGGTATGTAACCATTACCTAGGAAAGAAATTCATTTAGTTCCTTGTACTGTCCTATGTGTCCTCCTCAGAACTTTCCAGTCATCTCCTTCACTTAGTAAGAACAGCATAGCTAATTTTACTGAGTGCTTACTATATGTAAGGTACTGGCCTAAGCATCTAACCTATACTAGTTTAATTCTCACAGATGTTCTCTGGGGTAGGTACAATTATTACTCATATTTTACAGATGAGGGAACTGAAGTCCCTGGCAACCACTCCCAGTTGCAAACCCATAAGCAGGCTAAAGGGCTCTAGAGCCAGAATTTAGAAACTAATCATCAAATCAGCTTTGCAACAGGTTCTGTCAATTCCAGTACCTAGGTTTTGGCTTTCTTCGCTTGACTAAGTCCCTTACAGGACCCTCCTTGCCTCAGTGTCTGCCTCACAGCCCCTTACCTCCAGAGACTGACGTCCTGACTTGATCATCAAGTGCTTCTTGGGACTGTAGCCCTGCTCCCACATGAGTTCAGGAGATCTCCTCTTAGCCCCTCCAGACCCCTTCTCCAGTCATCTCTATTCTGTTCCCTAAGCCTGAAGGTTGACATGTTTGGACTCATTTTTCCTTTTCCTAGCTGGGTTCAGCCAGTGGGGTGTCTAGGCAGGATATCAGAGGGAGGCAGGACAGTGTGTTAGGAGATTTGATCCTCCTGGTTCCTTTTTCCCCTCCTCTCCCTGTGGGTCTAGAGCTGGTAACACTTCAGTATGACTAGCCTGGAGGTACGGAACTATTCCTCTTGGTTTCCCTAAACCCAGCTGCTAGGGTCTGAGTGTGTCCTCCCCAACCCCCCAATTCAAACGTTGAAATCCTAACTCTCAAAGGTGATAGTATTTAGGTGATGGGGTTCTTAGGAGATGATTAGGTCATGATGGGGGAGCCCTGATGAATGGGATGAGTGCTGTCATGAAAGGGGCTTCAGAGAGATCCTTAGCCCCTTCTATCATGCGAGGACATGACGAGCCGTCAGTAGTCTGCAGCCCAGAAAAGAGGCTTCGCCAGAACCTGACACCTTGATCTTGGATTTCCAGCCTCCAGATTGTGAGAAATACATTTCTGTTGTTTATAAGCTACCCAGTCTCTGGTCTTTTTTTATAGCAGCCTGAGCAGACTAAGAACCCAGTCACACAGGTTAGCTTTATCACCTTTAGTACCGGGGGTTTCTCTTCTGCCCCTGACCTGACAAGACAGCCAGGTGCTAAATGACCCAGCCTCTCTTATCTGTAATTAGACAATGTGACTGGCTTACTTTCATCTTGATGTGTTCAGGAAGAAGACTTCTATGGTAGAGAGGTAATAGCGCAGAAATCAGAGGCTAGGAACAGTGGAAGACAATCTTCTCCTGCGCCAACATGTCACCTATTCCCATCAGTTGTTTGTAAAAAGCGGGCAGCCAAGAGTGGAACCACCTGAAAGTTTACACAAGAAAGTATATGCAAAACTTAGAGGGACTCTGGACAAGTTTTCTTATCGTTCTAGAGGCTCCAAAATCTTTTCTAAGAAATCCTAATTTTTGTGAGTATTTTCTCCTTGGCTATTCTTCTTTTCCTACCTGTCCCCTCCACCCCTGATATTTACATGTCTTTCCCGATTTACCAGACACACAGATGCAGAGTTAAGCGTAAAGGGGAGTAAGATTCAATTAAAAGTTCTATTTTAGGATAACTATAAATCATCTTCCACTTCACATTTTTTGGATTAATGTAGAACGTTCTACTCATCTTAAAAGCTGATAGCAAGATGAGATCATTATGCTTTTTGCTTTAAGTAATCATACTATAAAACATTAATGTTTTAGACCAATTTTTTAAATTCACAAAATGCAATAATTTTGATGCAAGGATCAATCCCTATGCATAACAATCAGGATTGATTCAACATTCAAACATTAATTTATCTTACAATTATAACATGAAATGACAAGTTAATTTCTCTTTGAAATATTTACCCCATTATGCACTATATTAATATCATATATTAATGAAATGACTAGTTACCATTACCAATGTCTCCATTAATTTTGTACTTTCATAGTCTCAAAAGTTTAGGTCTAAACATAATTAATGTGCTGAGTCACATACTTTAGATAATGTACTTAATAAATCATCTTAAGTGGTTTGCCCCCTCACCTAACATCAATAATTTTCTCTTCTTGCTCTAATATTCTTTCAGAACATGCTGAAGCAACATTAAAAAACAACAACAACCACTGATCAGGTACATTTCACATTTTTATAATTTCTCTACCTCCTATGTATGTGTTATTAGAAAAATACATGAGTGGCAGGATTTTCCTATCAATAAATACACAGAATAATAAAATGGAAGGGAATGGAAGAGGCCATCTTCTCTCTGTTATCTGTATTGGGTATGGGCAGCTGTAGGGCAAGCCAGAGCTAGGAAGCTAGTTTAGGGTGGAGAACGCAAGTACTGATCAGAGAAGGAAGCCCAAGGAGATGGAATGGATCTATTTAATCCAGCTGAGACCCAGGAAGTTATATAAAAGCAAGAAAGAATACTTTGAACTCATTGTACAGAAGCCAACCTCAAGGTTCAGGAGTGTCAAATACTGCGAGGAACAGGGGATTCAGCAACGGTGGCATGTTGGGACAGTGTGGTGAGCCTGTGATTCTATAGTAGAGAAGTTGCTCAAACAGCCAGAGGAAGACAGAGCCTCAGGCAAATGTACATCCTGTTCATAGGAAAAGGGGAAGGCTAAACTTGACTTTCTACCAGAGGATAGAAAGCTTAGTAAAATCCTTCTTTTTTTTTGGGTAAAAGTAGTCTTGCTATGTAGATAGTTCAAGACAGTCTTCCAGTCTGACTCTCTTCCAAATACTATATTAGGTGATGAGTCGGGGTCACATAAGTGGTTACAGACACAGGCTCTAGAATCAAACTGTCTGGGTCCGTAACCCTAGAACCAATACTTATTGCCTATGTAACATCTCTGTGCCTGTTTCCCCATCTGTGATACGGTGATGATAACAGTATCCTAGTATGTTAATAGCATATTAGCTTGTTAATAGTAGTATTTTTATTATTAACTGAAGGAAAAAGACCCAGATCCCCCTCATACAAGCTTAGATCAAACATGCAGAGGTGGGGGGTGGGGTTGTTTATAAGTCACAGTGGAGAAGGGTGGTATCAAGAAATATATTTAGAGGCCGGCCGAGTGGCTCAGTTGGTTAAGAGCTCACTCAAGAGTGCGAGCTCTGAGCAACAGGGTCACCGGTTTGATTCACGGCCCGAGCTGAGATGCCGCTGAGTTGCCAACAGGTGGCAGGATGGCTCAGCTAAAAAAAAAAATATATATATATATATATATATATGTATTTAATTAACCTAGATGCCTATGATTCTACAATAGACTACCTGTACTTACTTAAAAATATAAGGAGAAATAAATGACAGAAAAAGAGCTATCCCTTTTATAAAGGACAGCCAGGTGGTCTCCGGTAGAGGTCTTTTTCCAAAGTGATCATCTGCCTGGCCTCCCAGGCTTGTTTAGCTTCCTGGAGGTGCTGTGTCAAATTTACCCAAGTGATACTAATGGGGACATGGCAACAAATGGTACGAGTGGATCTATAATTATTTTAATAAAAGGAATCTTGTTAGACTGAAGCATTAGAGGAGGTGATCTAGGCAAATTTCTCACAAGCTAACAGGGAGGACCAGAGATCGGGTGCCCGGAAATAGCTGATACACTGCTGGAGCATTGGGTTGGCCCTCATTCACCTGGATAGGCATAGTTTAAGGACAGTCAGAAGAGAGGAAGGGTAGCTGCTCAGCAAACTCCAACTGGGAGGGATTCCTTCAGGGAAGGGCTTCAGTGGGAGGGGAGACAGTGCAAATGAAAACATGCAACAGAAACTGCATAGTTTTTGTAGTGCTGGAGAACGCTTATGCCACTTGTTGGCTATGTGATCTGGGGGGAATTCCTTACATCTCGAAGCCCAGGATCTTCATCTATAAAATAGGGATAATAGCAGTACATACCCATGGTTGCTGTAAGGATTAAATGAGTAAATGCCTGTAAGGCATTTAGCAGAAGCTTAGCAGAGAGTAGATACTCAATAAGTGTTAGCTACTACTAAAAACATCTTGGTTGTCCTCACCAAGGTAGCCATTCAGTAATGAGGAAGCCCAGGACATGTTGTCCCGTGAGAGGTGAATAATGATCATACTAACCAACTTCCAGGGTGTTGCTGGCACTCCTTAATGAAGGCATCAAGACCAGACTTCAACAGCTCACCAGATGGCACGGGGTCTGGTACCATTAAAAAATCTAGATATAAATTGGGATACTTACTGGCCTGCAGGTAGCTCAGGAATAAAGTTAGCCCTTCTTCCTGTGATAGAAGTCTGTGGAAGTGGTCCTAAATAGTTAGCACAGTGTTCCCTTCTTAGTTAGAACCAACATCCTAATGAAAGTTACCTGTAACTTTCTTGTCTCTTCCAATCTGTTTCAAGTTGCAAGAGGACAAACACAGAGCACATCATCTCCACTTAAGTCTTAGGATGGGCGGCATTCACTTGCATTTGGGAGAGGTCCCTGAATTACTGCTATTATCCCTATTTTATAGGTGAAGAGTCAACAGCTTCCTCTACTCATCTTAGATTGACAGTGCTCAAGACACTTCTCCCAGTCTCAGGGGAGGTACCCAGGTGATGCTAATGTTGATGGATTGAGAGAATGATTTGACACTGCAGAAGCCATGATGTCTTTGTGGATTTGTATGGTTCTATTCTCTCTCTCTTTCTCTCTCTCTCTTTGTCTCTCTCTCTCTCTCTCTCTCTCTCTCAACCTGATGAAAACTATGGGTCATGTTCCCGACAAAGAAATCCACATTTTTACATATAACTTCAGGTCCCTAGAAGCCTGTCAATGACTTCCAGGTTAAGAATTCCTACGGCAGAGATAGGATCAGCAAGAACAGGCTTTAGGTTTTTGGTTTTCTTTTTTGAATTATAAACTTTGTTATATTTCAATGTAGTGTGTTTGCTATTTGTTTCCTTGATTTACTCCAAAAAGTGTTTTGGAGCTATAAAAACATTTTAAGATGTACTTTTCTTTCTGTTCCCAGATTCATGGGACATCATTACATTTGGATAATTTCAATAACCTCTGAAACTGTATGTTATTGAAACATGTTGTACTAATCATCAGTTACTCATTGAAATTCTCTGTTCTCAGTATGCTTGCTACCTCTTAATTTCTTAGCAATATTATCCTTTTAGGCTATCAGCACACTGATTCATTAGCATACAATCTATTAGCACAGAATATTTAATGCAAAACTCCTACAAAAATTACTGTAAGAAATTATTGTAAGAAACTTAGCTACTAAATGTCGTCATTTTATTAAGTCATTCTGGAATTTAATTCATAAGCATTAGTCAAGAGTTTATTCATCTCATAACATAAAAACCATGCAACGTTAACCCTCTACCTTACTTTTTTTCTTTCTTCACTTAAGAATGTAGAAATGGCTTATGACTTATGTGGCAACTCTTATCTTGGATCTAGAAGGCAATAACTTCAGCTTTCAAACTTGCTTTATAAATTGCCCATTCTTAGACATGGTGGAAATATTTTACACTATCTGAATAATAATGAACAATGCTGCTCTGTGATTTATAACTCTAAGAGCTTTATAATTTGATTTATGAACGGCTCTCAAATTTTCCACTGGCAGCTCATACAACTATGAGTAAATTTTCTGGCCAAATGACTCAGTATTTTGCTGCATGACTAATCCCACACTCAATGTGGAAACTATATAAATGAATTCTATTTGCTTGTAGATAATAAATGACTACTTTCTAAAACCTGTCTGCAAAGCATTATAGAGTAGATGAATTCAATTATATTGACATTTTAAACTCTCAAACTAGACTTTTTTGAGAAATCTGTAATACTTACACAAACTACACAACCCCCCCCCAAAAAAAAAATCCACACAACATCCTACCCCCCCCCAACACATACCATTATCATGGATTCCATAGCCTATAGGACAACAAACCCTAAATTCGGCTCTAAAATTTCTAAAATGTTAAAAGAACAATTTGGAATGATTCCATTTAAAATATTTTCTCCTACAATGATGTCTTTAAGTTTTTTAAAAGTTTTTTTTTTATGGTAAAATGAATATAAAGTCCTTTCCCAGAGGATATTTGCTGAAAATAATATTCAATATTACTGCAAATAACAATTGTTTGTCCTTCAAAAACTAAAGTTTTAAAAAGACAATAGCTGTCCATCCACATGATGGCACCGGTGATCCTGGTGGTTAGAAATTGCCTCCAAGATTAGATGATGTAAGTTCTTCCACATGATGTAGCTAGCTCCTTTACCTCTCAATGAAGAATATGGACCAGTATATTGTTGACACAGGTCCTGGTCTCTGTCATGAAAAGCCATTTGGGAATAAACAAGCCATATAACACATTTCCTCAAATTCCTCTCAATTCCTTTCATGTCGCTTAATTCTGAGAGTAAAAAATTTCACCCAGGAACAACTTGGTTACCAGTCCAAAATTGGTATGATTTTTAAAAATAATTTATTGCTAGAGCCATTTGTATCTAAACTTTCTGTTTTCAGGGGGGTCATATTTCTATGTAATGTCCTTGTGTGATTACCAGTTGGGTAATTTACTCACTTCCATATAGGTTTGTAATAAAAGCTTATAGACAGCTTGGGCCACATTCCAAGGCATTCCTTATTTTTCCCCAAAAAAACATCCTTCTAGCCTGAGTATTAGTAACTAGGGGAAGGGGAGATATAATTAGTTAGGGTCAGTTTTAATTGAGAGTCAAGAGCAGCCTGAGAGCAGAAAGAACCAGTCTGCTGGACTCATGGTATGTAAAACAAATAGCTACGTAAATCACAAATGCCCGGGAGAATGCTTTCTTCTCCCCTTTCTTTATCTCTTAATTTCTCTCCCTCTACTGGTTTCATCTCTCAAGTTCCCAAAGAACTTGTTCAAGTAGTCCTATTTTGACAAAAGGGCCTTTATATTGGCCTTTATTCAGGCTTTAATTGAATTTCTACTCATCCCTTTTAGAGTTGGATTTCTCCAAAGATTGTGGACAGCGGCTCTCCTCTTCTTCCCTTACTTCACCCTCTTCCACCCATTAGTCTGGCTTTAGCCTCACCCACTACAATGAATCCGTTCTCTGGGATGTGTCCAGAGGCCTTCTAGTGACAGTCCGCAGTCCTTATCCTCCTTAACTTCCCATTTGGGCATCTGTTGTAGTAAGCCACTAAATTGGAACGCTTCCCACTTGGCTTCCAGTCTTGCCTTCTGCTCACTTCTCCAATCCACAAATGGAAGCTGTCTACAAAGTTCTGATTCCAGTGCTTTCTTGTAGTTTCCCTTCTTTAGTCATTTCATCCATTTCCATGACTTCAACTCTAATTTATGTTGATGACTCCTGTCTGTCTCCATTCTGACCTCTCCACCCATGTTTCCGTGAGCTTGCAAGATAATTTCACATTGATGTCCTTCTGATACCTCCACCTAAATGGGTCTAAAACTCAGTTTGTCATTTTCCCTTTCAAAACTGCTCCTCCCCCCAGCTCAAAACTTGGGTCATCTGCAATTCCTTCCTTTCTCTCAATTGGTCCTTACATAGCTTAAGATGGAGCCCTTTCTTCTTCCTATCCATAAAATAGGTATTTGCGCTACAATTTCCTAACTCTAGGGAATGCCTACAGATATTTCTGCCATTTTATTAAAGCTCCTTACTCTTATCTTTAGGAGGTGGAATGACTCAGTGATGAGGGAAATTGGGGAAGGACTGCCAGCTACATTGAATGGACAGGGCTGATGTATGAAAGGTCCCTTTTCATACATGGTCCTATCTCTTGCTCACTCATGCAGAGTGCCTTGTTGAATGGAGAGTGTCGGGCTCTCTTAGCTTCTGGTCTCCAGGTAAGAGACTAGGTAGGGTTCCTTCCTGCCCTAGCTGGGAAGGACTATACAGTTGACCCTTGAACACCAAGGGGGTTAAGGGCACTGACTCTCCCCACGCAGTAGAAAATCCACATATAACTTCTGAATCCCCAGAACTTAAGTACTAATAGCCTACTTTTGACTGGAAGCCTTACCGATAACATAAAATCGATTAACTCAGATTTTGTATGTTATATGTATTATACACTATGTTATTCAATCTGACTTTACCCTGAATAAAGTTAATATGTTAAATTCATTTTGGTTCCTTGTGTGTGTTCTCAATTTGGTTGAAAATCCAAAGGGAAGAAGGGCTGCATGACGGATCATCTTCATACCTGATCAAAACTCATTTGTCTTCTCTTGCGTGACAGTGCTAACTCACCATCATAAAAAGTAAAAAAATTATACATATTTTTCCATTTCCAAATATGGTAGATTTGGCCAAGAGTGTACCTCTTCCATCCCTACTCCCAAACTTTAAATTTTTCTGACTTTGATACAATGTCAATTATTCTTTTTAAATGAAAATCTAGCAGAGAGAAAAGGTATTACTTCCATTAAATTAACTTCCAAAAAGGATTGATTGGCTGATTTAATATTTATTGAATTCCACAATGCATTAGGCATCACTGAAACACACAAAAAGAAGCAATTAATAACATGCCATTATTTGGAGAAAGAAATGATAACTTAGTAACAAATCAGAAAATAATAATGGAACCTAAATATTAAATTCTTTCAATGATTTGTTTTGCTTATTATTAGTATTCTTGAGATAACTGATGCAAAGAACAGAAATGAATGCATCTAAAAAGAAATATCTATAATCCTACTGCATGGCAGTTAAGCATTTGCTTGCCAAGAGAGATAAATAATGTTCTTGTGTGCACTTGAAACTTATAAATGGCTGCAGCAAGACTCAGGATGATAACAATTGTGCTAACGTAATAGCTCAGAAACCCATAATTGCTATTTAGTTGCTTTTTGTTGTTAAAAATGCAGAATTTGGGGCAAATTGGTTACTATGCTGTTTGTGGTTGGTGGTAAGACATGTTTCAAGGATATTTAGACCATTTCAGCTCACTCACAAATGTTAGACAATAAATATAAAGACGACCTTCCTAAATTCTGTTAGTTATTTCTCCCAATGTTTGCAGAAGGTTAATTCAGTTTTGTTGTTGCTTTAAAGTATTCCACTGGGCCGCTGTGAGTCCATGCAGTAAAGAATTTTTCCTTTCCCAACCTGCCACACATTGCAGACTCCCAGGATTCTCTTTAATAACCCCTGCACAATGGATAGGAATAGTCTCTCACTGCAGTGGGCTGCGGTATCCAGGAAACCTTTAAGCAGTGTGCACACGATGCAGTGCTACCTGTCAGCCCCTGAGTGCCAGGGACCTAGGAAGCCTCTCCTGCCTTGTAGTGCAGCCTAAGCTGACATTCAGCATTGCCACTTTATACAGTGTCTGCAAGCAAGGTCCTTCTATCTTCAACCCACAACTGAATAAGATGCAACGTGTCAGCAACTTGAATGCTTATTTTGTTTTAGGAAATGAGTTGTGCATAGGAAAACTTAATCCACTGTTTCCCAGGTTTATGAACCTGGCATTTAGGAAATGCATTAGGCAATGCCTTTTGGAGTTTCCGTTAATGCTTACACACCATAATATGTTAAAGGTCTGAAGAATGAAGAACATCAATGGTTAAGCTTTTATGCAGAGCTGGGCAGTTGATTTTGTATCGTTGGAAAACAACACTGATTTTGAGATCCTTCAAGTAAATAAAAAAAATTGAGTATTGTCATGGATTCTTTGCTTTTCAGAATTTCACAAATTACTTTCTATGACACTTCTTCAGTCTCTTAAGTAGTCCAAAAAGTCTACCTTAGTAGTTATTAGAAACCCCACACATGCAGCAATGTGTTACCTTGCCATTATAATTGCAGTTTCCTTATGAGAGTAAATAAAACAAAACAAACAGAAACAGCCTCACACAGCATTGCCTTGGGAGCAGCATAACGCAGTACCGCACCTGGCCGACGGGCCAAGGCCGCAAGATGCCGCAGACTGCAGCAGCGGCGGCTTCCTGGCCAGGTGGCGCGGTGGCAGTCCATTGAAAGGCGCACGTCAGCGCTCCTGCCATACCTTCTGCGTTGGCATTGCCCCAGCGACCACTGTAAAATCTCCCGGCCATCAACTACAATATACTTTTTGCTGGTTAAGAAGAAACGGGAGGGGGGAAGAGGGAGAGAAGAAGGAGTGTGTGCATTTTAAGTGTGACAGATCATTATTTCCTCAACACTAGCCGAAACATTTTTCGCCTTAAAATATGTACCAGCCAATCCCCAACTTCTTTCATCTGCCAGTTCTCTACATCTGAAATTGCCTCTCCCTTCAAATGCACCAAATGAGTCAGGTTTTACGGTAAACGCATGGATACAAGAGGATCGAAAGTGCCCATTTCTTGTCTGCGAAATAGCACCAAGTTTAGGGGTGGGAACAGTTCACGTCTGCAGACCCGAGCGTTCTGTTCGGGAGCGCTCCCAGTTTAGAGGGCTTTGGAGACGCGTGGGCCTCCCGTTCCTGGAGGACCCCAATTCCCAGGGAAGGCCCTTCCCGGTGTTCACGCTTCAGCGTGCTAGGTACCCCCCTGCAAGCAATAGCTCACCCGGCTGCATCTTCCAAAGCCCCAACCTCGGGGCGGGGCGCGGGGAGGTGGGAGGTTGGGGGTAGCACCGCCTGGAGGCTCCCTCAGCGCCTTTTCCCCCCTTGGCTCCTTGGCGCCCCCTGACGCCGAGCTCCCCAGCAATTCGGCCAAGGGAAGCTGGATAGGTGGAAGCCCCAAGCGTCGGGGAGCCGAGGCACCGGGTCTGGGAATCCGAGGACAGCACAGACTGGAGGACGGCCCCGCGGGAGGGCGCCGGGCGCTCAAGCCCGAGCGCAGCCCGCGGCCGCCGCAGCCGCAGCCGCCGCAGCCATGTCCGCGCGCCCGCGCTGCCGCAGCCCGGCCGTGATGTCATCAGCCGAGCCCCCGCCGCGGCTCCCCATTCCCGCCCCCCAAGGGACGCCGCGGCCGCAGCCCAGGCGCCGAGTCCCCGCCCCGACCCACGTGCGCCCGTCTTCGGGATGCCGAAGCCGGCGGCGGCCGCAAGACGATGCACAGGGCCCGGGTGGCCGCGGCAGCAGCGCTGCTCCTCCCCGCCCGCCGCCTCGCCGGCTGGGCTGCGCCCGGGGGCTGCGCACGGACGGGGGCGGAGGTGCCTGGGGAGGGAGGGGAGAGGCTCCCCACCGCAAAGTCCCTGCCTCGTCGCCGTCTGCTGAGTCATGGTGAGCGCTCCCCGCAGCCCTGGATCACTTGCATAGCGAGGCTGGCGCGCGGTGCGCAGCCATTGGGCTGGGCGCGGGGCCGCGTGCGCCGGGCATGACGCGCTGAGCCGCGCTCGCCCGTGCCCGCCGCTCCGGCTTGCGCCCCGCGCGGGTGCTTGCTCCGCCGCACTCCAGCCCCGCCGCCCCGCTGCCTCCGCCTCGCCCGCACCATGATCGCCGCGGCGTTCCTGGTCTTACTGAGACCCTACAGCATCCAGTGTGCCCTCTTCCTCTTGTTGCTTCTGCTGGGCACCATCGCCACCATCGTCTTTTTCTGCTGCTGGCATCGCAAGCTCCAGAAAGGGAGGCATCCGATGAAATCGGTCTTTTCGGGTCGTTCAAGGAGCCGAGGTAAGACACGTTGCGATGGGTTTCTTCGCGCTGGGAGGAACATTTAAGTCGATTTGGAGAGTGAAGCGCGGCTCGCTCCTTTCTGCTCTGCTGCCACTGTCTCCCATCAATGCCCACTCCCCAAGCTGAGTATGCGTCTGTATTTGACATCCCTCGCCCCTTTTGCCCTCACCCCCTTCCTCCAGTCTCCCGGGTTGAGATAAACACAGCGATACAGAGAGCTGGGAGGAGAGGAACGGACGCAAATTCTTATTGGCAGTTTGCTAAAGCCCTTAAGCATAATCGGAGCGGTGTCCGGGCTGTGGCAGCCTTCCTTCACTCACCCATTCCTAGAGCTTAGGGGTAAGAAAGTAAGGCATGAAGAGTTTGGGGCTCCCCAACTCCCCTAGAACTTTCCCTGAAACTTCTCCTGGAGAAATCACCTAGAGATCGATGGCCTAGTAACCTCCCAGCCCTACAGAATACCCCCACTGAATTCGAGGCGCCTGGAATGTGCCTTCCCGACCCTTGTCCCTCCCGCCCCCCTTCCCGCCCCCCCCAGGTTAAGTCATCAGTAACGGCAGATGAAGAACAGGGAGTTAAATGAAGTCTCGCTTTTTTCTTTTCTCCCCAGATGCTGTTATGAGATCTCACCACTTTCGTTCTGAGGTAATTTATTTAGCGCGCACGCTCAAGGTCAGAAGAAGTTCTCTTTTCTGAGTACCAGTATTAATCATATGCGTATTAAGAAAACAGTAGGGAATTGAATGGCGAGCATGCTGCCCACAGCCGATCTAATGCCCAGCAGTTTTAGCAAATTTCTTGTGTAGTGGATCCGATGTACAAGAGGTTGGGAAAGACGGCCTCTAAAAGCACTACAGACCTTACTTAGAAAAATAACCCCAGGGGTGGATCTCAGCTTCGTTTACAATCTGTAATTTTCTGATGGAAGCTTTCTGGGTGCTGAATGGAGTTGTTCACTTGGGATATCCAAAGGCAGGGAAGAGCTTTTAGGAAGTTAGAACAGAGCAATTTGTGTTTCATTGATCCATATGCATTTCATTTTAGACTTTCAAGTTTACATTCCTATTCACTTATGAAGCTCCTCACGTTTTTTATTGGGGCCATCTGATGATTTTTGCTGAGTGATGGTGGTGTTGACCTGGCTTTATTTGATCATGTGTGCTAGCCTCTACTCTCAAAATGTGGACCATCCTTCCATGAGCAGGTGGGGCCCTGCAGAGATTGGGTGGGATTACTGTAGGATTAGCTCCATTGAAGATAGAACAAAAGGAAACACAACAAAAACATAATCTCTCCCTGAATCGCATTTCTATATGAGTTTTCAGGCAACCTCACTTAATGTGAAATAATTTTGGGAGAGTTTCACACAGCCAGGCGTGGAGGTTACTGGTACCACTGCTTGTTGTGGTTTACCCATCTTAGCTGACTTTGCAGTTAGATACCCTCCATTTACTTGCCATATACTGGAGAAGTTATTTCACATTTCATTTCACATTAATCAAATGTTTTATTGCACCCTAGATGTTTTATTGGGCTCTGGCTGCTTGAAAGCTTTAACTGCATTATTATAACATCATTACAATGTTGCACAATGAGTGATTCTATTGCATGTATCCCTGGAGGGTGAGAATTCTGAGCTCAATTTAGGATCTTTAAGAGAATAAATTAACCAGTCAGGAAACCAGAGTTTCCATTCCTGGCTTTACACTAACTAACTAGCTGTGTGGTGGTGGAAAACTCTTAACTTCTCAATGCCTCAGTTTCCCCTCTGTATAATAGGAGCAATAAGACCTGGCAGGGATGTAAGGGGAGGTTGATTGCAGGTTTACAAGTAATTATGTAAAAAAAAAAAAAAAAGAATAGAATTTAAAAATGTGTACAAATGAAAGATCTGTTTGCAAAGTTTATTCTTTATTAAATTAATTCAAGTTTATGGGAAACAACTTCGACTGTCTATTATGAAGCAACAGTTTTTGAATATATAATTAATTTAATAAATGTGACAAAAATTAAGTAATGGTCAGGGTGCAAACATCAATATTTAGGATTTTGATTTTTAAAAAGAGATTACCACTCCATACATGTAAATGATAGAACCAGAATAATAATACTGTTATGGATTATTTTATTTACCATTAGGTATTTTAGCTAAAGCACAAACAGAAAAAATGACATAAAACTATGTTTTGTTTAATTATCTCTCAGTTAAGAATTTGTCCTGAGCTTGCATTTGGTTAGGAAAGCTGGGAGCAGTTGTATAAGGCCTTAACTCATTTCACAAGATTCCTGGTACAGTTTGACATCTGTTTGTATTTCACATTTGCCTCATCTGCTAGACTGTGAGCTCCTTGAGGGCAGGGATCATATCTTGTTTAGTGCTGTATCCCCACTGCACGGTTTAGTGGATTCTTTATGAATATTTATTGAAAGAATGAAAAATTCTTCGGTGGGTGCCAGTTCCCATAACTGGGCAAATATTGGGTTGTCGGAAAAGTCATGACGCACTTTTGCAATGAAAAACATAGAAAAAATACGTCATGACTTTTCCAACAACCTAAAATAGCAGTCAGAGTTGGGCAGAAAAGAAAACTGTACATTCTCAGAATTCAATATTTGCTGAATCTCAAGTCTTATTTTATCTCTCTAGGCTTTTAAAATTTGCTCTTAAATTTGTATTAAAAATGTAAGTCACTGATTAGAACAAAATGGATTTAGTTAGAAATTTCTTTTTTCTCAGAAAAAAATCAAATGCAAAATTAATTTAATTTGTTGACTGGCTACTTGTGTTCCTTTTTGTACCAAGTTCCTTGGATAAACTACTCAAAGAATATTAATTTGTAAGTGAAAATCTTGTCTTACATGAGAATGTCATATTTTATCACTCTTTTATATTTATCACAAATAAAACATTTTCCCTTCAGGATAACATAGGGAATTTTTTTTTTTCTATTCCCTTTTTATCAAAATGCCATTTCCTGTAGGATTTTCTCCTTGCAGAATATCTCTGACTTCTTTGGATTCCAGCATATTAAAAAAATTAGAATTTGAGTAGCATGATGGATTATTCTTGTTGTTGCTTTTTCATAGTAGCTGCTACAGAACAACTATCAAAGAAAATGTTTTCATTTTCTGACAAGTCGCAATATTACTGAACTAAGAAGTTAGTGATTTCTTGTTCTTCATTCCAGTCACAGTGAGTAGATAATTCAGCATTTCCATAGTGGTCAAATGAGGGAAATGAGTTTAGGATCCGTTGACTCACTTTGAAATGAGAAAGAGCTTTGGGAAAGCCCTTGAGCACAAGAAGTTCCCTTAGCACTTTGCCGCATTACTTGGCAAAGGCTATTGCTTCTGCTACCCACACACCCAGCAAGGAGTCCAGTTGGACAGGAAATTTCTGGATGTTCCTTCCCAGGTAGAGAAATACTTCTCCAGGGAGGAAAACCATGGCATCAGGATCCAGTTTGCTTTGGGGAAGTTCTGTAGCAGGGAAGAAAGCCACATTTCTCTCATCTGAGGAGCGCCAGCTTTTTCTCTTCACTATGTATATAATAGACACTTTTCTCCAGCTCAGTTTCTTCCTCGTGAAGCTAGAAATAATGTAGATGTTTATAAGATGTTTTGGAGCTGTAACCACCACAAACCCTTTTTATTTTTGCTTACTTGCAAACTTGTCTTTACTAGCTTTTTAATAGTACCCTAAATCTTAATAATTAGCATGTGAGAATGTGAAATTATTAATCCATCCAGCAAAAGCTGAACAGTAATAACCCCAATTCACTGACAGATAAAAGGGCCCAATTAGATAAAGAGAAATATGTGCTTTGTGTATGCAGATAAAGAACTTGTGTGGCTTTGTTTGTTTGTTTGTTTGTTTGTTTCTAAACAGCTAATGAAGTGAAGCGATTTCACACTGATGTAGGACAAGATATAGTCTAGAAACCAAGGGTTCATTCCTAGTGTCTAAGAAGCGTACTTTTCCTGAGGATTTATAATGTTTTATGCTTTGATTTTACATAGTGTTTAACCGTTAACCCTAGATTCCTGTGGTGAAAATCAGGCAGTGACAATCCTGATTTTAAGGAGATTTCAGAAAGTGATATGGGTAATTGAGGTACCATTAGGTTACAAGAAAGAGTCTTGGGAGTACTTCAGTAGACTGAAGACAATTATAATGCCCTTTGAGAATATCCAGAGTGAACAGTGGTTAAGTGATCCCTATTCATCAGCTCAGTGGAATAAGGGAAGCCTTGTTTGATAAAAGGAGGGGAAAGAATGTGCTTTATGTCTATCAGGATTTGAGTAAATATCTTCACTTCCCGTTTTAGGTAAAGGAACCAAAAGAGTTAACTCAAGCGGTTCCTGAAGAGTCGCATAGCAAGATAAGGACTAAGACAAGAACTCCCTGGCTACCTTTTGTCTGCCCTGTGATGTTTAACTGTGTCACTCACAGCTCAGAGAATAATTTGCTTAAATTCTCAATGAAAGAGAGAAGCTAGGTTGAGTGAATTTTTAGCGGACATTTCTTATAAAACGGAATAGGCAAATCCTGTAGGTTTTTTTCAGTGATAATCCATTATCCTAGATGAAAGGATGGTCCACATAAACCCTCTTGGCCTCATTATGTTCCCAGGGCGTCCCTGTAACAAATCATGGAAGAATGGTCAGTAAAATAACCACATTTCACAGCTTCTTATTACATTTGCATCTTTCATTCAGAATTACTTAATTTAATAGATTAGAGAAAATGATAGTTTATTACTTAACTATCTTTTACAATTAGGTTATCTTTTTAAATAAATGCTTTGCCTAGAGTTAAATTCCAGGTCTAAATTAATTTGTACTAATTAAATCAGTTTTAATTTGAACTCTACACATGATATAGTGTTCATTTAGCTTCACCTAATTATTTTCAGAATAAACACATTTATTTTTTCATTATGTATGAAGTATGATGTTAGATACTAGAGCTAACAAAGAGTCTGAGGTATAGCCCTTGCCTTTAACTGTTAGTTCTAGGTCACTCCCAATATCAGTGCTGAAATTTTATAGTTACTGGTTTCTTCTGTTACAGTAACTGAACTGCTGTGCTGTTTCCAACTGTAAATCACAAGTGTGCTGAGAGCATCAGAAACTGAAGTGTACAAGTACAGCCAATACATTTGTAAAAAATTTACCCTGTTCACAGAAGTTTATTACACCAGAGTCAACACTACCGTATAATTCACCCTTACTTTAGCTACATGGCAATGAAACAGAATGCTGGGGAAAAAAAGAAAGGAAAAAAAAAACTACTGTGTTTTTTTTTTTTGTTTTTTTCCCCTCCAAGCATCAGAGCTAATTAAATGCAATCTAGATGAAAGTTGAACAAAAGCTTTTCCAGAGAAGTTTGAATCTTTGTCTAACCTTTAGGTTCAAGAATGACTGTTTTTGAGATTTGGATTACAAAGTAGAACCAGGCTAACAATAACAAGTATTGATTTAATGAAAATAATACAGGAATGAGTTCAAAATCCTGATTTTGGGTTTCAGCTCTGCTATTAACTAACTGTATGATATCGGTCAAGTCTCTTAGTGTCTCTGAGACTGAATACGTGGCGTTCTCACTGGCAACTTCCCCCTTCCAGAAGTAACAGGCCATGTTTCTGCTGTGTGTAAAGCATCATGTTAAA